CCTGAAGATACTTTCCTTTGTTTACTTTGGTCCGCCTCAGCTTTCCGCGTGTACCATGCCATTAGCCCCAGCTACTGCTGAGACCCGCAGCTACCGCCTCACCTATATAAGCTCCACAGCGGGGGAGCTGAACCCAGGTGCTATGCCACATTTGGCTCCCCCGGCCAATTTCACAACCCACCGGAGGTTAGCGGGGATTCTATTTGCCTTGGGAGATAGTGGGGTGCCAGGCCTGGCAACCCACTAGCTCCCGTAATTTTTGTGAAATCCCCATATCACCCAAGATTTTCTACACAACCCCAACAGTACACCTTTGACTATTCAAATATCCAAACCATCCTCCCCCTACAACGTCAACACCTCTACCACCCAAAAATGACCTTGAATGAAATAAATTCTCCAGTTGATCTTGATTTATCCCATCTCAGAAACAGTGAGCAGAGTATGTACTTTTTTGATTCAAATTTTACTTCTACTTTATTTTAATTTTTTCTTGTTTCCTTTTAGATGAATCAGCTGCTCCAGTCACCTCCAAATTAAATCAACAGAAAAATTACAACAAGACATAGACCCTGCGCCAACAAAACTATAGCAACGTGGAAGATGTGCAGCTTTTCACATTGTGGCTTGAGGTTACTCAAGATCCCATTATGGTTGTAAATAATACTGGCAACGGTTTCTGGAATTGTTTCACCAACAAGTACACCCAGGAAATACAAGATCCACCGCAAACTGCAGTTGGCCTGAAAAGGTGCTGGGGGACCCTTCAAGCTGCCATCAACAAGTTTTTGGGGTGTGTTTGACAGTTCAACAACACCAACCAAAGCGGGAAACCCAATGAGGGTCAATTGACCTATGCATTGTGGTTGTATTCCGAACTGTACAAGAAGGTGTTTAATCACCTAAACTGCTACAACATCCTGTCAGCAGCTCCGCAGTGGAACAAGTACTGCTCCAGCTCTTCAACCCCGGCTCAAACATCCAAACCTGGAGAGGCTCTTGACAAGATAAGCAAGGATACTTCACTTTTAAATCCCTCAACAAACAATGATGATTCGACTTACGATGGGAGCCGCCCAATGGGGCACAAACAGGCAAAAATGGAGAATGATCAATCTAAATGGCAGCACAAACTGTCTAAAGCACAGTAGCAGATGGTGTTGCAAACAAAGAATCAAAACAAGCACCTTGAAACACAAAAAACTACCATGAAGTCATCAGCTGAAGACTCAAGGTTGATGGTGGAAGACTCATTTATGAGCAAGGATTTTTTGCAGATGAACGATAAAGTGAAAAGGTATTATGAGCATAAAATTAATGGCTTCTTAAAGCAATACAATAGTGATTAGTTTTTTCATTTTCTATCTGTGTTTATTGCTTGCAAAGTATTATTTTTTTTCACTTGCAAACTGCAAACTCAGAAGGCTTTTTCTGGATTTGGCTTCTCTGCTTGCTTTTGTTTCTGCTCTTTTTTACTGCTCCCTTGTGCTTCTCACCAATTTATCATTGAATTCAAATCAAACTTATTCTCTGCTTGCTTTTGTTTTTCACTGATTTCTCATTGAATTCAATAAAAATTTGATTGACTTTTTTCTCAGAGGAAGAATAGGAGACAA